TTCAGGTTTTACAAACATGGGGTGCCAACTTCACACAGCTCAATTGAACAAATTGAAGGTTGCATTCAAGATGAGGGAAGAGATAATTTCATAGTTAATATTAATGTGCTCAAACCTCATTACCGTCACACCTCGGTCACCCCAGGGGCTGTGCCAGGGCTCTGGACCTGGGAAGTGCTCTGTGGCTAACACTGTACAGTGAACGAAAAAGGAAATACATGTTCTTGCTTAGCTATATCATCTCTGTGCAGTTGCAGGAAAAGCTCCACCCTCATTGCCGGGCAGTGTGACCATGATGGGGGATTTGAGTCTGAATATTGCAGAATAGAATTTGTTTGTTTCCCCAGTCAGAGCACCTGCAGGTCTTCATTTAGAACTGACAGGTCCCTCCACTTTCCAACATATCTCTGCTAAGCCTTTTATGACTGTCGTAATTAAAGGCATGGCACTAGGCCCTCCATATATTATGAGTGGACAATTTATATCAACAAGTAGGTCCGGGAGATGCCGTGACCCAGGTGACCCTCACATTCTCTCTAAAAGTCATAAAACCTGAGGTTGAAAATCAAGTTATATTTTATTAGTTTGGAATTGGGCGGGGATAGGTAAACTAAAGGTTCATCCTCCGCCCGTTTGCCCGCCCAACCCTGCCTAGGGGCTGGCTCCGGGACACCCTCCAAAAGGGGCTTATAAAATACTCTGTGTTGGCAACTAGAGAGGCTCTTGGTTTTAAACATCATCAAGGAACTAGAAGTCTGAACATTGCAGAAGAGTTCCCCTTTAATCTGCTGAAGTCTGCTTGAAGAAGAGCCCTGCAGACTTCCACTTTGCTTCTTGGACTCTGAACTCTGTCAGAACTCACAATTCTAGGACTGTTGAGTATTCTATTTTATTCCCTTTTATTTTGCTGTTGTATATATATTGTGTCTTTTATTACATCTTTTTCTGTATATTTTCTGCACCGTTTCTTTTATTAAAGGACGATATTAAAAATCGTTAAGCTTATCTCTACGCTCTAAATACGAACTTAAAGTATCCTTGCTCTTTGAAGAGTGCTACTGTATAGTGAATCCTGTCATATTTCTGTCTAAGAGGACAGCTGTATCACAGGCATTGTTTAAGTGTTTTGAATAGTCGCAGCAGTTGCTGGGCACGGTTCGTATTCCGGAAAATACATGGTGGCAGTGGAAGTTTGTGGGTAAAGGGTTAACTGTGGAGTTAACCAACCCTGGTGACGATCGCTCTCAGTCTGCTAGCCTAAGATTGTGTCCTGCGAGCTGGGAAATCCCTGCACAGGGTGAGGCTGAGAGAGGTATCGCCACATCCTTGTGACGCTCACGCTCGGATCAGACTTGTGTATGGTCACGTGGGATTGACGTACAGCGGGTCGGGGCCGGGTGTACGCCACAGGCAGCATAGGACATTATGGGGCCAATATATAAATCTTCGGTCCAGCCATATGTTGTGCGAATGTCAGTTGCACAGCATCCCCCCCACTAGATGGAGCCGAGAAGCATAGGAAATTCTTCTTAGCTCCATCTAGTGGTGTGATATTAGTTAATATATGTACGTGCAAAACATCACACAGAATGCACCTCCTTTGCTAAGCAGCCAAAAGGCTAGGCAGGGAAGGAACAACCCTCCAGATACACTCTATGTTAGTAGGTACTCTGATCTGAGGAACAGGGGAATGAGAAAGGGTTGCATTATTTTATGATTTGTATTTGTTTTTGACACCTGCATACTTAATGCTATGGATTTAAATGCTGTAGAATGTTATATGCAACTTGCCTGCCCCTGTAGGGATCAGTAAGGTGGCTATTCCTGGTTCTGGTAACCTTAAAAAGAAGTATGCTGAATCCTCTATCTTTTAAGCATAAATATAGAAAACAAAACAAACTTTTTTTAGGAATAAAATCGCATTATCATTCAATAATTTAATCAGGAAAAATCTGAAGTTCTCCTGAAACACTCTGGCAACGTTTGTCCACAGGGTTCTGATTCATTAGTTTTCCCCAACATAATAATTACCAGTGTAATGCATCCAACACATTAGACATACGGGTAAGGATGTTACTGTGCAGAGACTTTGTGATAATATTCAGCATCAGGCTATTTTAAGAGGAAAAAGGCCAAAAAACTAGCATAGGCTTCCCCTCTTAAAAACACCAGTCCATGTGCCATAGGCAATAGAAGAGGGGTCAATCCACGGTTAGGACATTTTTATAAAACTTACCTGCTAGTGAGGTAAGTTGTTGACTTGGCTGCCCTAGGAAATTTATATCACATTGTAATTTTAACTTCACTTGCATCAGACTCATAAACCTTGCCGCTAGGGATTAGTGAAAGTTAGTTAGTCTTTATTTACCTGAAATCTCAGTAAAATTGGAAGTCAATGAGACAGGTAAAATTAAAGTTGGCCACCCACAGCTTGAATTGTGTCCATTCTTGCTGTCAGATTAAATTCAAGCTGTGGGTGGCCCTGTAAGCAACACCCAATTTGGCAAAAGTCTATTTTTAGCATGGATGGTAAGTTCTATGGTTTCTCTAGTCCAGCACCAAATAATCTAACAGTTTTTGACCAGCTTAAGGTGAATTTGTTTGATTTTTGTGTTTTTATGCACTAAAATGTTTTTGTATGCATTTTTTACTAAACACATGGATTTGATAAACTGTTGCGCTAATATCGTGTGATCAAAATTGCAACTATCACTATTTTATTTTCTAGGGTCTTTGCTTTTGGAAACAATACAATGCGGGGGTTTAAATGTAGGCCTAAAATGTACATTTTAACATGTGTGCAAAAAAACGCAACCCAGCTCTGGCAGCGAAAGGGTTAAGGTGGTACCTATTCACAAAACAAGAAAATGTTTTATTTGTTAACATTAATACAATTTTATCTTAGTTTTAGTAAGAATTTTGGAGGTTATGTTGTGTTTTGATGTGCTTATGATGATTTAATTGTTTTTTATTGAAAGTTTTGATAAACATTTGCTCAGCTACCATGGGATATGCAAAAACAGTACTACCCTCTTTTAACCCCTTAATGCAGGGATGGCCAAACTGCGGCCCTCCGGCTGTGGTGGAACTACGAATCCCATAAGGCTTTGCAAGATTCTCACAGCCACAGACATGACTCCCGGAGAGATGCTTCATGGGATTTGTTGTTTCACCATAGCTGGAGGGTCGGAGTTTGGCCATCCCTGCCTTAATGTAAGAGAAATCTCAGTGCCTGAACTCAGTTTTTCTACTTTGTCATGTGTTGGTAAAACTGTAAATATATTTGCAACTAGTTGGTGTATCCAGTGAAATGAACCTGTTTTTGTTCAGAACAAATTGGGCCTTTATTTGTGCGGTAAATATTAATGAATATCCTTGATTTCTTTATTATCAAGGGAAAAACAGTCCAAAATAGTAAAATAATTAAACACATTTTCTATACTTTAGCTTGATATTTTTTGCCATTTTCTTGACCCGCCACCAAAAATATTCTTCCACTCCTGACATTCATGTCAATTCTACATACCAGTATGTGTGTGTTTGTTCCTTGTACCTGTATCAGAGCCCAGAACAGCAATGTGCATTTTGCTTTTTTATCCTACCTAAGTGCTTTAAACCACTGAAACCAACACTGATTGTTGGATCACGGCCCGCGTCCCGGCCCCGAATCGGGCTCCTGTGCAGAGACGCACACGAAGACACCGCCAGGGGGTTAACTCAGGCCGCGCCGGTGGGACACGCCCGTGCGTCACGGCGGGACACGCCCCCATGCGTCGCGGTGCACGGCCGATGACATCAGCACGCCAGCTCTGCCCGATGATGTCACCCGGGCTATATAAGGAAGCCCAGCAGCCTCACTCACCGCTGAGTGATCTTCAGCCAGTACCTGGATACCTGCTCTGCTCCCTGATACTCACCTGTGAATAGACCCCGCTTGCTACTTGACTACTCTTCCTGGATCCTGCTCCTGTACTTCGTTTGTTACTCACCTGTGTATTGGCCCGGCCTGTTGATTTGGATATTTTATATACACTGCCTGCGCATATTAATCCGCTGCGCTTAAATGCACGCTGCATTCAGTTCTTTCTGTATAAGGGGTGAAGTACTTCTTTAGCACCAGAGAGAGTCAGACACGATGCTGGTCCCCCCTTAATCTCCTAACCTCCAACGAGAACATATTTAATTTTAACAGCCTTGTTTCATAGTTTAGGTCCTCAAACCCCTTAATTAGTTTTGTTGCCCTCCTCTGGACTTTTTCCAGCTCAAGGACATCTTTTCTGAGTATTGGTGACCAAAACTGGACCGCATGCTCCAGATGTGGCCGAACCATTGATCCGTAAACTGGCAAAATTATAGACTTGTCCCTGCATTCCCCTCTTAATGCAAGACAGTACTTTACTTGCTTTGTTTACAGCAGCCTGGCACTGCAAGCTATTCTTCAATCTGTGGTCTATGATGACCCCCAAATCCTTCTCCGTTTCCGACTTCCCTAGTGGCACACCCATAAGAGTATAGTCCATTTGCCTATTTTTAACTCCAAAGTGCATTACCTTGCATTTATCTACATTGAATTTCATCTGCCATACAGTTGCCCACTCCCCGAGTTTATCCAGGTCCTCTTGTAATGTTATAACATCTAAATCCATGTCTATTACCCTCCCAATTTTCATATCATCAGCAAACACTGAGACACGGCTACTTACTCCGTCCCCTATATCATTAATAAATAGGTTAAAAAGCAGCACAGAACCCTGGGGTACGCCACTCCTGACCTCCGCCCATTCTGAGAAGGTGCCGTTTAGCAATACTCTTTGTACACGTTCCTTTAGCCAGTTTTCTATCCACGTGCACACTACTTCATCTATGCCCATAGCCCTTAGCTTGTATAACAAGCGTTTATGTGGCACCGTATCAAATGCTTTTGAAAAGTCCAGATATACTACGTCCTACGTCCACCGGCCTCCCTCCATCCAGATCTCTACTTACCTCTTTGTAAACAGTCCTCCCCTATGAATTCACAGAAACCCCCCTTGGACGCTAAAAGAATATTAAGAGCCATCTTTTCCTGCAATACCAGAGTCTTCATCTGTCGTTGTTCCTGGGTGACAGCTTCTACGGTTTCATTGAACATCTCGTCTACAATAGAGGAGAAATTTTTCAATCGCTTCATAAGCTCGATCCCCCATCCATTCCAAGCGGGGAACCATGCCCAAGCCTGATAGTGGCTAGAGAACAGTTCCCTACGAGCTCTCCCGGACATCTTTACCTTCCTACGCACCATCAGATCCTCTCGATCGGCTGCAACATAAGATGCCGGAACAAGCTTCACTAAAGCACATGAACCTCTTGCATTAGGGGGAATTACCTTATAAGTGGCGGAACCGCACAGGAAGTAATATGGGGCTGTCAGAACAGCACATGAGGAATTTCTCTGACGGTCTCGGGCACTAAGTAATAACATGATAGACTGAGGGATCGCCCCTGCAGTCTGAACATCGCACCCTTCTTTCCAACAGATATAATCTGGTCTATGAGTGTTACTAAAGAGATCGGGGGTTTCATTAGTAAGGTTGACTGTTATACCTTTCTCACAACTGGAGGATCCCACAAATTTATCCCCTTTACCGAAGCTGATGTTGAAGCATACACGCGAGCCCAGGTCCGCATTACCATATTTTCAAGTACTGTTTTTGATTTTCTTTTTTATTATGATGCATGCCTTGCCAGACGATTCTGCTCTTACTAGCAACCTCCGCCAGCTGGCGTCCCGCCGTCGCCATGACAGCCAGTGATGCCGCCTATCCAATAGCTCTATTGTTGCCTGGGGGCATGGCCGAGTTGTCGTCATTTTACCTGCACGGCTTCCAGCCCCCACAAGCTAGCGTCCCGCCATCGTCATGCCAACCCGTGATGCCTATCAACATGGCTCAAATGTTGCCTGGGGCGAGGCCGAGTCCTCCTCACTGACATGTGTGGCTTCCCCCACATACTGACGAACGATCAGGGCATGGCTTTGGGCATACCCAGTGTGTGGCTTACCGTCTGGGGTGAAATACCTGGAACCATCGACAAAAAGGTTTTTGGCCTCTGGGATGGGAGTCTCCTTCACCGGACTGATTGCTGTTGACTCAAGTTCCACCAAAGAAAAGTAGTCATGGTGGTCCTCAAAGTGATTGCCTACTATGTTGGAAAATTGATTAGAAGTTGAGAGGTTAGAATGGTTAGTAAAAGTTGGAAAATTGTCAGGTTTCACACCATTATCTCCCCCCTTCTCTTCCTCCTTAATAACAGGAAAAAGAGACGCTGGGTTTAAAATGGTGCATCGTCTTAGAGTCAGGTTAGTAGGTGTTAGGAGAGCCACTTCGTACCTAGTCAACCTGGCAGCAGAGAGGTGTTTTGTCTGGGCCTGATTTAGGATCTCCTGCACCGAATAGAGGGTCAACCGGGAGTCCAAGACTATGTCACCCACCTTCTGTAATAGTACAGCGCAGGCGGCCACGGCTCGTACACATCCCAGTGAGCCTCGGATGACTGGATCTAGGGCAGTCGATAGATACATGATGGGTCGGTACCTGGACCCGTGTAGTTGGGTCAGTACTCCAGTTGCATGGCCCTGGTTTTCATGGCAAAAGAGATAGGAGAGGTCATAGTTGGGCAGACCTAAAGCAGGCGCTTTGGAGAGTACCTGGGTCAAATCCTGTAGGATTGACCAATTATTGTCTGACAATTGAAAGGGTGTTTTTGAAGTCAGCTCGTAGAGGGATCCCAATTTGGATGAGATGTTAGGTATCCAGTCTCTGCAGTAGTTGACAAGTCCAAGAATGGCTCTCAATTGTCGGGTGTTTTTAGGTCTCTGCAGTTCATTCAATGTCTGGACTTTCTGGGTGGTTAAATGTCGGGTGCCCTGAGAGATAACTTTTTCCTTGCAGAACTATAGTTTCTCCTTGCTAGCCTTATTACCCGTGGATGCCAGATGGTTAAGCCGCCGATAACAAGCCTCCCGCGTGGGACAGCAAAGTAGCAAGTCATCCACATACTGCAGCAGTACCACCCCTGGATCCATCAGGTGCCACTGATCTAACACGATCTTAAGCTTGCAACTGTATTCCGAGGGACTAGTCACTGACCCCTGAGGGAGACGTGTCCAAGTTAGTTGTTGACCCTTGTTATGGAAATTCACTTGGTTCAACGCACAAATCCATATCGCATTAAGCTGCGCCAAACGCAAAGAATTTCCCCCGTTGTACTACGCTCTTTTATGCAAGGACTGGAAGTATCTCCCTTCTATACTAAGCTAGCAAAGTATGTGGGTTAGGTACCAGAGGAGCATCACTAATAATGATTTTGTCCAGAGCCCTTAAATCATGTATCAATCGGTATGTTGTTTCCTGGCCTTTAGCTGTCTTTTTGGCCACTGGGAATAGTGGAGTGTTACAAGGCGATTTAGTTGGTGTTAGGACCTTTATCTGTAGATATCAGTCTATTTGGATCTTAAGACTATCCAACTGAGCAACACTCAAGGTATTGTGGTAACCGGGGTAAAACACTTCCTGGCTTGATGTTAATCGTTGTTGGCGGAACTGGCAGAAGACCCACATCATACTTATTGCTCGCCCAGACCTTCGGATTCACCTCTGCCAGTACATCCAGCTCCAGGAAACAACCGGGTTCTATTAGGTACGGTAGCGATATCATCGTATATAAGCATTCGTCATATGCGCTGCTGACCACAATACCCGTTGGAGTGTACTCGATGACTGCCTGTATTTCTGATAAAATATCAGCTCCTAACACATTAATGGGAATATCATCCGATACCAGTACAGACCTGATGGCTTCCGTGTGCTGCCCTAACCTGCAATGGAGTGGTTTGGTGGTCTGTAGAGACACTGTCTGACCTGTGAGACCCAGAGTGGGTGTAGTCTCCACCAGAGAGGGGAACCTTGCCTCTGAGATCTGTTGGCACCGGTGTCAATGAGGCAAGGGAGGGGATATTTTAATTCCTCAATAAACAGGTTGATATGGCCTGACACCGGTTTGCCAACATCCTATGAAGAATCATAGCCGTGGCTGGCCATCCCTACAACCGAAGTTGTTGTGTCGTCCAGAATGAACTGCCACTTACCCTTGGGTCTGTTAGGACAGTCACGATTTAGATGTCCTTCCTTTCTGCAGATGTAACAAGTCCGGGTTTTCCAGCGTTGTGTCTTTTTGCAGTGCTCTTGACCCGTTTGTTCTGCAAGAGGGGCTTGAGACACAAGGACTTTGGATCTTTTATCCTGTTTCTTCCTATCCACCTCTGTTTTATCCTGTTTCTTCCTATCCACCTCTCTCTCTATAGCGGAGAGAGTGGATAGAATGGCAGGTATTGTCATTTCATTAAATTCGGGTCTGGCTAGTAATAACTGGTCTCGAATTTTCGTATGGATGCCTTCTAAGAGTTTGGCTCTTAGTAAAAGGTGAATAGCGGTTAACTTACCTCCGTCGGTTGGCACATCAGGACCAACCTCTATATCGGCATCCAACGCAGCTTGTTTCAGGCGACGCCAGAAACAAGCGCATTCCTCCCCAGGATTTTGACTGAGTTTCATCACATCCGTGGTAGAGGATGCACCATAAATCTCTGGAAGTTTGGCTAGCAGGGCAACACAGAATTCCTTACCTCCAGAAGTGGCCTGTTCGTGTGTGACAATGTTGCAACTGGAGATTATAACCCCTGCCAGTTCCTCTCCTACTTTCATCCTCAGAACCTGGGCACAATCTGTTCCGCTCATGCCATAACTAAATTGATTTTGACAAAACATTCTCGCGAACCCTCGCAAATTCGTTCTATAGTCAGGTAGTTCGGCCAGGATGGTCCTGATTTCCGAGGAAGCAAAAGGGACATGCCGTACCACCCTCTCTCCTAAAGTCCTTTCGCCGTTGGCATTGGGAATGTTGTGATTGAGTGGTATCAAATCTTGGTGAAATATTAATAATAGGGTGGTGTCTGAATTATACTTAGATTTAATAGACAGTGCCTCCAGCCGATTACAGCAAATAATAAATAACTTAACAACCAGTATGAATTCAGTTCAGACACTTGATAATACACCCCAAACCACTTCCCTGAGTTCTTTGAGCTTATGGTGATTTCTTACCACAATATATAAATATCTCCCAATTACACTAATAAATCAAAATAATTTATTAATCTACGAGTATAATCATATATTTCTGTACAAAACATAAATTACTGGTGATTACAGGTCAAACACACACTCAATGAAATAAATGTAAATAAATTATCACAAAAAAAATAACTAGACACCTTTAAGATTGTTTCTTATTCTCCGTGGCCATAGGAAAGAAAGAAACGTCTCTCAAAGTAAATATTCCCTTGTGATCCTAACGATTTCTGAAGATAATAGGTTTACTACTATAATAGGGACAGCAAGCAAATCAGGCTAGTATACCTACAATGGCAACGAGTTACATACAAATCAGTACCCAATTTAACCATACACAATACAATCTAAGGAATAAAATAGAGAAAGATATGAAACATTATCACAAGAATTCACCCTGCACACTGTTAATTAGAATTGTTAAAAAAAAACAACTAATAATAAAATGTAATCGCTATGATTTCGGAGTAAAGAAAGTTAATTCCTCATATATGATCAATATCTCACCAATCTTTCAACAGAAAATGTTCAGAGTCTTATTGGATGAGATGATGGCTTGTTTTAGGCAGCAAGGGTTAATGAGTGTCCTTATGTTACATCCAGGAAGTTTTCTTCAGACTCTTCCTTCTCTCCTTTTTCTTTTTTCCCTCTCCTTCTTCCTCTGTATTTTATATGGTTTGAGAGCATTGTTCATATTGGCGACTCCCCAACCACTATTTACTTTCTTCCAATTGATCGGTTCAGAAATGGTAGTTGATTGGTATGATTCACTCATATCGTCTGCACTCAGTTGAGTAAGCCTTGGATGTGTTTGATAACTTACTCAACCTTAGACAATAATCATAGGTGATATCAATCTTGAAACAATAGGGCAAATTAGCTGTCTTGGAGTTTTTATGTTTCTTGGTTAATTTTTTATTTTTTTTTAAACAATTTTTATTGTCAGAGAAAAAGTTATACATACATACATACATCATGGTACCTTACATAGCAGTACAAGTAATAGACATACAATAGAGGTATATCTACTATCATATGCACGCACGCCCTTGATCTCCCTTTTTTTTTTTTTTAAAGAATCGTTAAACTTAACTCAAAACAAATTCTACATGTTTCTTCCATTCTTTTGTTCTTCGTAATATGTCCCAGATGAAACCTCTCTTTGTTTCTATGCCCTAACGTCTGTAGTAGCTCTCTCTCTCCTCGCGTGACTTTCAGCCGAAAGCCGCGCGAGTAACAGTATCCAACCTCCAAAAATGGCACCTTAACACCTATTTCCCCCTCGTGATACATCGTTTCTCCATCAAGGTAGTATCAGGATCAACCATATAACTGCTGTTTTATGACCATTGCGATAATTAAGGGTTCAGCCTCTATGCAGATGTTTAATGTTGGTGAGAATGAGTGCTAGAAGCTGTAATTGTGGCTATTTTCACTAATTAGCATCACCTTATATAGACTATGTAGTAAGCATGCATTAGAATGTCCCTGCTATTCTTGAATTGAGTACGTAGGTGGAGTATTGGAAGGGAGATATGAAGGACTCCCTTTCTTGAGGATCAAAAAGAAAGTCTACAAAGGGCATCCATCTGTTGAGGAAGGGAGTCACCTTGTTGTCTTCCTCCCTATGGGTCTCCGCATCCAATTTCTCCAGATGGAGTAGCTTCAATAGATCAGTTCGTAACCCCTGCACAGTGGGAGGATGTGGTGAGATCCATTCCCTCATTATACTGCGTTTGGCTGCCAGGAGGGCTATACTTATCCACTGTTTGCGGTTTTTGGCGAGAGTAGATGGATGCTGCCAGTGGTTAAAAAGCATTAAGAGGGCATCCACTGGGATCTGTTGACCCACTACTGAAGCCACCATGTCCGCTACTAGCTTCCAGAATCTCTGAATAGATGGACAGACCCACAGACAATGGAATAGTGAGGCTCCTTGCATCTGACATTTGGGACAATAATCCAGGTATCCCGGAATATGGGCGGGGGTGCGTCTCAACCCAAATGCATAGTAAGCTCTGTGTATAATCTTAAATTGGGTCTCTCTCCACTGCTCATTTACCATTGCTTTACATAGAAGGCGATAACCTTCTAGTATCTTTTCGACTATATTTTCCGTAGGAACATCATCTTGCCATTTAAGTATGTTTGAGGTCGTAAGGAGAGGAATGTGCTCCTGTCTCATGTGAGAATATATGGTGGAAATAGATTGCCTGTCATTAGCTATTATCCTGTCTATGAGCGATGTATTCGTCCGGCAGGTTACGTTGGGTCTCAGCTTGTCTAGATGGGCTTTGGCTTGCAGGAAATGTAAGAAATCGTGTGTGGGCGCTTGGTACGTTCTTCTAAATTCCCTGAACGTTATAGTTTTTCCCGTGACAGGAGAAATGAGCTGAGCGAACGTGGTGAGGCCCTTGGAATCCCATTTTGTAAAAGTGTCATAATCCTCCCCCTGTGGGAAGGAAGGGTTTCCTTTTATGCATAAGTGGTGGGAGAAGTATGGGTTAGCCTTTGCTATTTTGTGTGCCTCTCTCCAGGCCACCACTGTATCCCTGATGATAGTGTTGGAACGCAGAAGTGGAGGGATTTTAGAGAAAGGGCAGTGTAGAAGAGCGGAAAGTTTCCAAGGGTGTGCCAACTCTGTTTCCAGGTGGAAGTTAGAATAGTAAGAGGATGCCCCAATCCAGTCTGCTGAGTGTCTAAGAAGACAGCTCAGATTATATAATCTTAAGTTGGGGAATCTTAAGCTCGCTCCTTGGCAGGCATAGTTTTTGCATTGACACCCTTGACTTTTTCCCACTCCATATAAAAGTCAGGAAGGCTCTATTCAAAAGTGTCGTGTCTGTATGTTTCAAGAGGAGTGGAAGCGTTTGCATAGGGTATAGAAGTCTGGCAAATGGAATCATTTTTACGAGATGTATTCTGCCAAAGAGCGAGAGCGGCAGATCCCTCCACATGTGGAGTTCTCTACAAATTTTCTCAATCAGGGGTGGGTAGTTTAAGTTATATAAGGACGCAGGAGTTTTACCAATTTGCAACCCCAGATATGTAATGGAGCTCTTAGCAGTACTGAATACGTGTTGATTTTAACGAGATGGCCGCTGGTGAGGTTAGAGGAAGAACTACAGATTTGGCGGCATTAATCGTCAGACCTGAAAATTGTTTGTATCTCAAAAATGTGGCTTAGCCCAGAAAGAGCCTCTTCCGCTTCCAGCATTGGATCACTTTGGGCCAGGTGTACATAATGCGGTTCTTCCGGACTGAAACCGCCTTCTGTATGCCCTGCCGATTTACCATTATAGACTTCTGAAGCCATAACTGAGCTACATCTAGGGCCTTTGCTGCCCAGAGCCCATCAAAATTAGGATAGGGGCTACTTGCCCCCCACTGAAAATAGTGTCAACTATGATATTTACATATGAATGGGGCGGCACTTTTTACATTTGAACAAGCCACAACTCATTCTCCCACAAAAATCACCGTGCGTTGCTTGAGTGTTCGGGTTTCGCTTGAAGAAAAGGTGGCAACCCTAATACAGGTACATATCAAAAGGGGACTACACCAAGATGGCTGGGCAGGGAAATGCACACACCTCATCCTGTAACAAGGTAGGATGAGTCATGTCCATTGTCCCCGACCGGCCATGTGGTTGCCCATCCCCCATCGTCAGCATGGACCCTAGTCAATACTGCTCAGAGAGACCAGTATCTACTTGTTCGGATAGGTTTGAGACTATCTGGAGAGACATTGCTAATGCGGTTATCTATATACGGTACCAGTATACGGACAAGGCATATGTCGATGTCTTCTTATAAAAGCAGATATGTATCCAAAAGGGATAGCGCAGTCCGCAATAGAGGTATAATACGCATCTCGTTATACGGACTCCGCTTCGCTAATGTGTACAGATGTTTGAAGGCAAGGAGCCCAGCGCATTGCACTTAGTACTCACAAACCGACAAACGCCTCCACACACCGCAAACACGTCTCCAAGCCCATGAGAAGGTTTTCACACTGACGGTCTTACCGCTGGTCCCGATTCAACCCAAGTACCCTCTGCTAGAGCGTTCCTCGGCTAAATCCGACACAGGGAGACAGATGACAACCAATAAAACACACACATCCTAGAATACAATGTCCACATAATTCCGTATAATAAAATTTCCACAACAGCTGTAACATGATATCACTTGTAAAACCTATTTTTATTTTTATTGCAAGCTTTCATGAAATAATAGCTTGTGATGCTGATAAATGATATAAAGGCCATAGTTATGGGCTGACAAAGTTTTTTCCTTGTTTTCACAATCTCCTGCCTGTAAATCATCCTGTCACATGCTCTCTCAAAGGAAACTGTTAAGATCAGTGCTGATGCATATTGCATGGGCATATTCCACTTATGAAACCATTTTAAAAAAAGAGCTGTGAAAAAAACAACTGCAGCCAGCAACAGTTAGGAAATGTGTCCTGTGAAAAACACATGCAGCCTGTTATCACTGTAGGGCATGTGAACAGGGAAAGGCTGTAAAGAGCTTGCAGGATATCAGCAGCATTAAGATGTAGCAGAGGATGAGAAAAGGTACAAACCTTCCCCCCACTCCATCCATATTCCAAGATGCACAGCATTTGCTACCTACATGACAGTTAGTAAGAGTTTATATCTACTTTAGTAGACCTGCCAGCGTCTAAAAGACCTACACTAGCCCAACAGTTTGTCAGCAGCAATCCCAATGCATTCCCTATCACAAATAAATCACATTGTCAATATGGCTGCTGTGTCCTCACCCTTTTAAAATAAAGCGGACAGCTTACACAAAAGCCTTCTAAGCCAACTGACCTAACTTCAAATGCCAGGCAGTGAATTATGGTTACAAAGAATTTAGTCCAGTGAATTTCACCATAATGTCAAATATGCAGCATTCACCTTGAACCCACAGTAGCAGTGAAACAGAACCACATTCCTAATAAGCAGTAAAATCATGATTAGTTTTGCTAACATTTAGGAATAAACAGCTGAGGGTATCTTGGATTCATAAATAAAAACAAAAATACTGTAGGGGGAAGTTTACTGCTTGACAGTTTACTGCATGACAGTGAATTTAATTGTGATTGTTATGTTACTAGATCAAGGAGTTTGTAAAAATAAAATGTACTGGTTTATGTCATTTTACCACAGGTGTCCTGGAAAAGAAGAAGAAGAAAACGGAGGAGTATGTCTTAATGTTATCTGTGATAGATGAAAACCTGAGCTGGTATATTGATGATAACATAAATAGTTACTGTACTGATCCTGCTTCAGTGGATAAAGAAGATGAAGGCTTTACGGAAAGCAATTTAAAGCACTGTAAGATTCTCACCTTCCTAGATCATTCAAAAAACGAATTAGAGCTTTGTTTTCACAGTGCATTTTCATGTTCCATCGAGGATAATGCCTCAGTCAAAGTTTCCTTTTGCTACTGGGGGATTCTGCCTCCAGTAGAGATCTCTCCTTCTCCATTCTCTTCTACTCCCCACCTCTTCCAATTTATTGACCATTTACACTAAAAAAAATTGCTGTGCAACCTCCTGGTTAGTCACTGATCCACTACAGTGCCTGATCTCCTTCCCCTCTCCCCAACTACCACAACATGCCAGACCCCGATCATTCTCCCACCACAAGTGCCTGCTCTCCTATCCCCACCCACACTAGACAATTCCACTGCCAGGCAATGCCCTTCTACCTAGACTGCTCCATTCCTGTCCAATGCACCCCCACCCAAACAGTTCCACTCCCCACTAATACACCTCGACCCAGACTGCTCTACTTCCAGACAATGCACTGCTGCCCAGATTGCTCCACTCTCTTTGCAGACTATGCAAAGCTATAAACTGCAGTAAAGGTAGGCAGCTCTCACTGCTCCTACAGTCTGCTTGTGTGCCTGATGGCATCGTGGTGCAGATCATTGCCAGAACTCGATCTACAAGGAGCTTTGACTAATGTATGGTCAGGGGCTGGGGCCAGTAGTGCTGTGGTAGGTAGCTTCCATTTACTTGGGAGCACCAAGAGTAGGTGGTGGCAGTGGAACTGAAAAGTTCTGTTTCATTGCCAATATCGACTGCAGCCCCCCTTCCCTCAACACCCACCACATCTGGACGCCCCCCTTTTAACCATCAATGGTCTCTGCCTCCACCCCTCATTCAGCACTCAATGTGCCTGCAGCTTCCCTTCCCTTACCAACCACAGTGCCTGCAGTCCCCCTTGCATCACCATCCACTGCACCTGAAGTCTCCATTCCACCACCCGCTATACCTGCTCACCTTTTCCTCCCCACTCCACTTACCTCATCATCCGCCTTTCTTCAAATCCCACCCCACCAGCAGCCCCCTTCCCTCACCAGCTGCTGAGCCTGCAGCCCCCTTATCGCACCACCCACTGTGCTTGCAACTCCCCTTCCCTTTCCGCCCACCATGCCTACAGCTGCCCTTACCTCACTACCCACTGCACCTGCAGCCCCCTTTCGAGACCTGTGAGTGCCTCGACTACTTTTTATTTATCTGCAGATGTTACTTTGCTGCATTGCACCAGGGCAGTGTCTCCTCTGGACAGTGTGCAGTGACTTCCAACAAAACTTATGGGAAAAAAAGTTTAGTTTTCCCAAATTTTTATGTCAAGATCAAGGGGGTATCTAGAAACTTCAGGGCCCGATGCAGGAAACCATTAAAGGCTCCCGCCCCGACACCTTGGCGGTTACTGGGACCAGGCCCTCTTCTTCCATCCCCCCCCCCCCCAAGTGGGGAAAACCAGGGCCCGGTTGCAAATGCGACCACTGCGACCTTGGTAGTTATGCCAGTGCTCAAGATGTTAGAAAATATGGCACTCCTTATACCTGAAATTAGAATCAGTAGTTTCTAAATAATCAGTAGTTTCTAATATACTCTGAATTTTGTGTTACAGCCATCAATGGATACATGTTTGGCAATCTCCCTGGCCTCTCTGTATGTGATAACACAGATGTAATGTGGTACATTTTTGCTGTGGGAAATGAAATAGACGTACACTCTATCTATTTCTATGGTCACGTACTGACATACCAACACAGGCGTGTAGACACTATCAGTCTCATTTCTGCATCAATGGTTCAGGCTTCAATGTTAACACATAATCCCGGAAAGTGGCTTGTCACCTCTCAGGTTAATGAACATCTTGAAGGTAAATCATTTTCTAAAGCTTTATAGTTTTATACAGTTTTGAAAACAGTATATTGGTGCCTTTTATTAATTTTTTAGGTTTTGCTCTTATTTTTCCTCCTAAAACCTCTGGGTCTGAACAAATATTTGCTTTCTATGATCCCAGTAGTTCCACACTGTTTTTTTTTTTTAATCAGATACTTTTTACTTTTCAATATTTTCTCCACACACAACAAACATCCCACAAAAAGAAAATAAAAAAAGAGACAATACATAACAATAACTCAAACAATACACAAATAATGAACATACAAGCTAACATATAAACACAAAAACAAATATATCAACCACCATATATACGATTTAAAAAAAAACACTAGATCATTGAGAACTAATCACCTTAACACATATATACCTTTAGAGCACAGCTAAAGTACTGCAATTGCAGCTTAAGCTCTCATAAACTTCCCTCACATGCCTAACTAATAATATTATAGAAGAATTCACACATTCCTTTATTGTGTATGGTATTGTATCTATATAGACCAATATAAGGAAAACGTATCCTCCCCTATCCCTCTATATTGATAAGGCGTACCTTCAAACATTACCGTCTGATCTAACTCAGACATCCATTCTGATAGTGATGGAGGGGAGGAAGATATCCATTTCCTCGTCACCAGTCGACTGGCAGTAAATAATGCTCTATGTATAGTCAATATAGTCAATAACCAGTTTGGGACAGCTCCACAATAGATGTATCAGTGAACCTTGGCGAAAACCACATTTTGAACATGAAGGATCGTTCCTGACACCTACATTGAACAGGAGCTCTGGAGTTTGATAAGTCTTATGTAAAATAACAGTTGAGTATTTCTATGGGAAGTGGATAAGGACGCCGATAGAACAGCCCTCATCTGTAACAGGGCCTAGATCATCTTCCCACTTACTCCTAACACTCAAAGGTGATTGTAGTATCGAGTTAGTTACTAAGCGGATATATAAATAGGAAATAATGCCCTTGGTATTGCAAGCAGCGACCAGGGTATCCAAAACTGGTGTTGAATGGAACTCTGGGGAGGCACTACCAAGTTGGGAAGTCAAGGCATGTCAAAGTTTCAAATATTGATTTACAGGTGGAATGCAGACAATCTATGAAGTCAGGAACTGCTCCAAAGTAGGTCCTCCTTGTCAATATCAATCCACTGTTAGACGGAATTGTATTGCTGCATTAGAGATCAAATAACATCATCTTGATTTACAGGTGGCATGCAGGCAATCTATGAAGTCAGGAACTGCTCCAAATTGGGTCCTCCTTCTCAATATCAATCCACTGTTAGACGGTATTATATTGCTGCATTAGAGATCATCTGGAACTATGGTCCAACCTCAATCAACCAATTCACTGGGCAAAAGTTAGATGCTCCTGGGAGGTAGGTTTTATAGCTATATATTTTTTGTTCATAAGGAACTAGGGCTGTGTATCCAATGGCCCATCCTGCAATGTAGGCTGGATGGAGAGGGGGAGCCCATGATAGCAGCAGTAAGAAAAGAAAGAATCATTTAAAAAATAAACATGAAAAGTATGTTCACTTACAATCTGTTCTGAGCTGTAATGTATATGGGTTGAGAAAAAAAAAAGTAATTAAAAAGGTGAACTAACCCTTTAAATCTGGTAATAAAATGAAAATAATGTCCAGCCATTTTTAAGTAGTAATGCCTTATTGGTATTTGAAGTAAGACAAATGTGGCCCTAAACTTTCAAATGCTAAATTCTATGATAAAACTTGTGTGCCATTCACAACCCTTCTATATGAATCAGCCATTTAGAGGTGACTTCTGATAAACAATGGTATACTATCATCTGTTGATTAAAGTGTAACACCAAACAGAATGTTTTATTTTTGAAGAAGGGTTAGCACGTCCATCAGGTTTTATTACCATCTGTGGTCTTGCTGGGGAGATTTTCCATCATTCTCTGAACGTGTGACAACATTGTTAACAGGAAAGTAAGTGAGGAAAGGTCTTCAATGGCAGTAATTAAAAGTTGACAGGGGTTAGAGCATTTGTATATCCATGATCATATGATTGTTTGAACCATTACCAGGTATGCAAGGCCTGTGAAAAGGGGGGCTTTTTAGAAAGATATTGCTCTCACTATGAACTTGATAAAATATAAAAAAATGTATTTGTTATAATGAATTAAAAACATAATTGCATTTAAATAAACGCAAATTCGATACATAGATTGTGTACATAGTCCAAATACAATACAGTAATTGTTGCAGTAGTCTAGTTTATCGCAGACAGATTAAGACCCCATTCACACTGAGCTACATCCAAAAAAGTACTTTTTTCAGAGCGATTTTGAGCTGAGCGACATTGAGCTACATTGAGCTACAGTGCACATTTTGTCGTGCTACGTAGCACGGCTTTTCGCAGGGACTTCGTAGATGCTACATTTGGCTGTAACCAATAAAAAGCGGTCTTGATCTGACATCATTCCTTCCTTCTTATATTTCTGTGCAAAAGTGACACTTCTGTAGCGCGACATTGAGCTACACCATTAAAGCCTATTGGGCCAAATCGCACATAATTCCGCCGAAAAATAGGTCATGTTCAAACTACAAGCTTGAGCGACGAGCTACAGGCGACATTGAGCTGTGAGATGTGAACAGCTCCATTGAAATGCATTGGACAAGCTACATTGAGCGACATTGAGCTGATATTTGAGCGATTTTAGAGCTGAAATCGCGTGATAAATCGCTCAATGTGAACGGGGTATAAAAGATGGCGTTGCTCTCTAGGTGCCTGGACATGTTTTGCCGCATGGGCGGCTTCCCCAGGAGGACTTCAATCCTATAATCTTAGGTTATAATCTTTCTTATATTCTTGCTGTCTAAAGCTGTCTATTGAGTTGACTATACACTATAAAAACTGTACAATCTCTTTTAGATCTACCAACAACTTTGTAATACAGTGGCCTGCACAATTAGATACAAATTGAATGTATTGTTTAGGTTTGTGCTCATATTAGTTTTGGCAAATGTAAAGGTTATGTACAGGGGTTGGGCAATCAGGTTATAGTGTGTATGCTCGCCCTTAGGGAGATTTCACTTTGCTTATGTTTGCTCATGGTCTCTGACAGGAAATGTGGGGAGATCTCTCCAATGGGGTAACAGACCACAGTAAATACTGTTGTTGAACCAATACAGCTGCATACCCTATCAAAGAAACACTAACCTCAGTAGTTAAATCTTAAAAATGCATTCAAGTACCTTAAAGGAGAACTATGACATGAGTGATTTCCACTCACCTCATAGTTCTAAGCCGACCTGTGACAATGAGACTGTCACAGGTCGGCTCAGTAGATCGGGAGGTGAGAGAACACATACCGGGTTCCCTCACCTCTCGATCCTGTCACGGCTCTCTGCCGTGACAGGGGAAGGGCTGGTTTCCCCCCTCCTCGCTCCGATCCGCCAGCGCCTACTGGCGGAACGGACGGGGAGGGGGCGGGTACAGCTGGCTCTGCCTCTAGATAGGCCGAGCCAGCTGTCACTCACGCAGCTGGGCGGATCCCATCATCTAAGTCGGGATCCGCTCCAGGTGCGGTGTCTCGCGGTATACTGAGCTTAGGGTAACGGGAGGACGCTAGTTTGTGTCCTCCCGTTACCCCAAGGAGAACTATGGGGAAAAACACTGACCCCATAGTTCTCCTTTAAATATTAACAAAAACAAAAATGTATCTTATTTGTGTATCAAGTCACTCAAGCAGCGGCCATATTGAGTGGGGCACCTGAGATTAATAACGTGCTGGATTAGTGTGATACTAGTTCATTTTATTACTTCATTGATGTGCTGTATGTGTATAGGCCAATGTAGTTGGATCTGTATGTGCGTTATAATTAATCGAAATTAATCGATTAAAAAAAATTTCGATTAATCGAACAGGAAAATTTTAATAATTACCAGCCCTAAAAGTAACCACTACTCCAAGCTCACTGCCATGGTGGACTACAATCTCAATACAACTAGTAAACTAAACATGAGATCAGAGGCGTAACTAGGAACCTCAGGGCACCAGTGCAAGAAACCATGAAGGGCCCCTCACTCCACCTCCCATAAAACAATGTCGGTGCCTTGGCAGTTATCGGGGTAGTGCATGTGGGTAGTCCAAGGAGGCAAGCCCACCAGTTGAAATCATTGGACCCCATACAGGTTAGGCTGTGTGGATTATTATTCATAATAATCATTTTAATTTTTTTAACTTTTCTATTAGATTTTTATTTTATTATTTTTAACTTTTTATCAATTTTTATTTATTTTTCCATTTTTATTTATTTTATTATTTTTTACTTTTTTTTCCACTTAATTTTTTTGCAATCACACAGGGCCTAACAAGCCCCTGTGTGATAGCATTCAGAGGTGACAGGCTCTCTTTATGAGCCTGCCCTCTAATACAGAAGATAGAGCACGTAAGTGCTCTATCTTCTGTACAGAACAGGTTGTGGCAGCTGACACAGGAGCGCTGCTGACACAGAGCAGAGAACGGAGGTTCCCCGCTCTGCTCTCCACTCTCCAGCCTGAAGTGCCTTGCCGTGGGCTGGGGTTCCGCAGAAGAGCAGGGGACCCCGAAAACCACAGCACAGAAGAAGGCAGCCGGTGAGGGGACGGAACATGGAGGAGGGGGCGGCCAAGCAGGCTGCATACAAGTGATTTCAGCGGCTGTATAGCCGCTGAAATCACTTATACAAAATGGCTCCTCTGCTTTACATTTAGCCCTGCTTGTTGTAACAGGGCTAAATGTAGAAAAAAATCCTGGCCTGGCGCCCTTTCAGACCAGGCCCACCCCCCAAGTGGCAGAACGCCAGGGCCCGATCGCAAATGCGACCCTGGTAGTTCCGGCAGTGCATGAGATTGTAGTCCATCACAGGAGTGAGCTTGGGGCGGTGGATACTTTACAACACACACTCAGGGGCCATGGGGAACAAAAGTAGCCACCCTCCAGAAGGAAGGACAGTGTCGGCACCAATTCAGAGATGATTTGAGGATCTACAACCGAATGATACACAAATAGGATACATGTTTGTTAATATACTTGAATGTATTTTTAAGATTTAACTCCTGAATGTAGTGTCACTTGAATGTATTTTCAATAATCCTCGTCAATAATCCTGTCTGCAGTTGGCAATTTAAGCCCTGAGTTTTTTGGCCCCCCCGAACTGCACTGACTTCTTTTCATGTACAGTAAAGCTTTACTGAACTAATAATACTACTGTGGCGCTCCCCTTTTTTCTTCTACATCACAATCACCGCTTTGGGAACCTCTAGAGACAACACAACCCTCCCAAATGACAGAGAGCTGCCTCTGATTTTGATATAGCAATCTTTATTTCTCCCCAAGAGTTGAATCCAGCGTTCTACATGAACATTGTTCACAGTAAAAACCTGGCAGGGTCTCTATTTGTTGTACCCCGCTATGTCCAATCCCTAAAAAAAAAAAAAAATTCTGGAGTTTGACTTTATGTAAATGAGTCATGTGTATGTAAATATAATTGAATATGCTTACGTTAATACAATACAATAAGGTAATCCTCATTGTGTAAACCTCCTGTTTAATCAGAATATGTAATTAACCAAATGATAATCATACCATAGAATATCATTCACACTATTATCAATCATTTGCAGTGACTCAGCAAAATATTTTGAGCAAAATGATTTGAGAATTGGAGGAAGTTATATGAAAGCCGTGTATAGGGAATTCACAGACTCAACATTCACTAAGGAGAAACCACGATCCCAAAACGAAATACATCTTGGAATTCTGGGTAATTGGTGATTTTACTACACTCTTCTTACAGAAATACAGAGCGGTACAAAATAGATGCTTGATGTATGGAAATGTGTCATTGATAAGTCTATGTTGTATTAAAGTACACAGGCTATTTTAATCTTATGCAACTGCAGAAGTTACTCTTTTGATAGCAGTTACCTCATTTGCAGCCCAATTAAAACAAATGTGATGCAAACTAGTTGACTTTCTACAAATGGTTAAATTTTTCTGAAGAATGAGGTTAGAACTATTGGTGTAGTTTAGCCCTTAAACTGTCCACACACTACACATTAGAACTGGTTTCAGTGCGTCCAGATATCCCCAAGGAGATTATGGGACCCTAAGAGACAAAAGCTGTCCATACATGGCCCATTTTTCGGAAACTGCCTGAATTCAAAATGTAGGTGACAATGTTGACATCTCGTTTGACAAAAGTTGATTTTTCAATTTCAAGAAATTGTCGGCGGAACATTGTCTGAAACCAATCAGAAGCAGGCACTATTTGGGTGTACAGCAGCCACTGCTTAAACAGTAGCTGGTAGCGGGGATTCTTCTATCCACCCTGTTTAGCATGGATGGGGAATCTAATGATTTCTCTTGTTCAGCTCCATGGAATGAAATTTAACAGTGTAAGGTTAGCTAGAGTACATAGGGAAATTGGACAATTAACTTCTATGAGGAGATGTAAGATGACTGTTCTAGCTCGGAGCGGGAGAACCTCGATGGACAAATGTAGCAAGGCTAAGGCTGTCGTAGGGGCCACCATGCTCCCAGCAAGTTCTGACACTAGCTTGAAGATATGGTTCCAAAAGGATCTTACAGACTTGCAATACCAGAAAACATGGATCAACAAGCCAATCTCATTGCAGTGTCTCCAACACAATGGCGAGTGACCCTTGCCAAATTTTGCTAGTTTATATGGTGTGTGGTACCACCTGTGTAGAATTTTTTGTTGTAATACCCAGTGGTCAGAGCATCTTGAGCTAGTGTACGATATTCTTTTTTTTTAAAACAATTTTTATTGTCAGACAGGAAGAACAGGAAAAACATTACATATACAGGCGTACCATACAACGCAATATATGCATAGCATTAACAATATAGACGGTACATCTGCTGTATCAATAAAAACTCGACCTATCCCTTTTTTTTTTCTAAACACAATAGCATATTTCCTACTAGTTTAATTAGTGTCATATCTCAACTCTCTTCCTAAACCGTTCACCTAAAGGTCGTTTGTCTACCCATCTTTGTTACGTAATCCCTGCTCTTTGGGCCCCCAATATAAATACAAAGTCGTTCAGCCAAGCATTGTAGGATCAGTGGTATCTTAGTATCAATGTGATATTTGTATGCCAAACTATTTAAGGGTCTAATCCTCGCAGTTAGTTAATGCAGCCTTTGGCATGGTGATTGTCATGAGCTACCCCGTAACTTGGCCTGTAGTATGTATGTTGAGTATTGAAAGGGGGACAAGAATGACTCCCTCTCTTGAGCAGTAAATACCTTGTCGATAAAGGACATCCATCTACGAAGAAAGAGAGTCACCCTGTTCTCCTCCTCCCTTTGGGTCTCCGCATCCAATTTTTCCAGATGAAGTAGATCTAGGAGATTATGTCGTAAACCCTGTACGGTGGGAGGGTGTGGGGAAAGCCACTCTTTTATTATACATCGTTTGGCTGCTAGGGAGGCTATGTTTGTCCACTGCCTGTGAATCTTGCTCACCACAAGTGAGTGATCCCAATAGCCGAACAGCAGTAGAAGGGGGTCTAATGAGATCTGTTGACCCACTACTGAGGTTATAAAGTCTATCACTGATCTCCAATTACTCTGAATCAGGGGGCAGATCCACAGGCAGTGAAATAATGAAGCAGCCTGCTCCTGACATTTGGGACAGTGGTTTAAGTACCCTGGGTTATGGGTAGGAGTGCGCTGCAGTTGGAATGCATAATAAGCTCTGTGCACTATCTTAAATTGTGTCTCTCTCCATTGTTCATTGACCATTACCTTGCAGATAGAGCGGTATCCTTCCAGGATTTTCTCTACTATGTCCTCTATGGGGATGTCGTTTTGCCATTTTGCCAGATTAGATCTCGTCAGGGGGGGAATGCGTGCCTGTCTCAGGTGGGAGTATATGGTCGAAATGGACTGTCTGTCAGTGGTTAAGATCTTTTCTATGAGGGAGTGGTTAATGGACCTACCGGTTGCGGCTCCTAATTTGTCTAGATGGGTTATCGCTTGTAGAAAATGTAAGAACTCATGAGTGGGCCTCTGGTATATACTACTGAAGTCCTGGAATGTCATCTTTCTACCTGTGTCACGGGATACGAGTTGAGCAAACCTGGTGATTCCTTTTGTCTCCCATTTAGTAAAAGTATCATATTCTTCCCCCTGAGGGAATGATGGGTTTCCTTTCAGGCTTACATGCTGGGAGAAGTATGGGTTTGCTTTCACCATTTTGTGTGTCTCTCTCCATGCCATTACTGTGTCCCTAATGATAACATTGTATTTTAGTGATGCGGGAATTTTAGAAAAAGGGCAATGTAAAAGGTTGGATAGTTTCCAGGGATGGGCCATCTCTGTTTCCAGGTGAAAATTTGAGTAGTGTGAGGAGGAGCCGATCCAGTCGGCTGAGTGTCTAATTAGACAGCTCAAATTGTACATTCTTACGTTCGGGAAGGCCATTCCCCCCTCGCCCCTCGGCAGACATAGTTTTTGTAATGATATCCTAGCCTTTCTACCCCTCCAAATGAAGACTAGAAAGGCCTTGTTTAAAAGTGTTACGTCTTTGTGTTTCAGGAGGATAGGTAGCGTCTGCATAGGATATAAAAGTCTAGCAAAGGGAATCATTTTTATGAGGTGTATTCTGCCAAAGAGCGAGAGCGGAAGGTCTCTCCACAGATGCAATTCATTGCGAATCTTATCAAATAGGGGAGGATAATTTCAGTTATATAGTGATGTCGGGGTCTTACCAATCTTTAGGCCCAGATATGTAATGGGACCTTTGGCAATGCTGAATATCTGAGATGTGGCTAAAGAGAATGATGCTTGTGAGGTTAAAGGTAAAACCATTGATTTAGTTACATTTATCGTCAGACCGGAGAATTGCTGGTATTTCAGAAATGTGGACTGGATGAAAGGTAGATCACGAGGAGGGTCACTGGAGAACAATATTATATCGTCTGCAAAGAGCATTATTTTCAGTTGTGAAGTGAGGAATGAAATCCCCTTGATGTCTGGATTGTCCTGAAAATATAGCGATAGTGGCTCCAGCGCTAAATTAAACAATAGCGGTGAAAGGGGACATCCTTGTCTGGTACCCTTCATCAGTGGGAAGCTGGTGGATATATACCCCGGCGTGCAGATACGTGCCGATGGGGATTTGTAGAGTGAGGACAAGAAGCTTTTAAAGCGACCAGAGAATCCCATCCCTTCCATTACTCTGAAGAGCCAAGGGAATTGGACGCTATCGAATGCCTTTTCGGCATCGATTGAGATTAGAGCTACAGTGGATTTTGGGTGATTTTTGGCATATTCTAATACCGACAGCACTTTACGGATGTTGGAGACTGCCGACCGTCCTTTAATAAAGCCCACTTGGGCTGGAGATATAAGTTGCGGTAGAATGGACGCAAGTCTGTCCGCTATGATTTTTGACAGGATCTTGGCATCGGCGTTTATAAGGGAGATTGGCCTGTAGGAGCCTGGAAGAGTGGGATCTCTATCTTTTTTTGGAAGTAGTTTTACGTATGCCTCTGTCCCCATTTTCAAATATTCCCCCCCTGCCAGATGGTGTTGAATACCCTGTGTAGAGTGGGTGAAACTTGGGTCTGTAACATCTTATAAAACTCGTTGGAGTAACCATCTGGTCCTGGGGACTTACCATTGGAAGAAATTTTAAGGGTTTGTATAATTTCCTCCATTGATATATCGCCGTTTAGACGATCGAGATCTTCAGCCTCAATTTTGGGTAATGAAACTGACCTCAAAAAAGTTTCCCCTTTCCCCATATCTAGTGGCGTGGCTGAGTATAACTTACGATAGAATTGTTCGAATATTTGATTAATTGACTTTGGGTCAGAAGTTACACTTCCCTGCTCCGAGCGCAGGGAAGAAACTTGTGACTTCTGGACCCGTTGTCTCGCCATATTGGCTAGCAATTTACCGGATTTATTACCAAATTTGTGGGAGGTAAGTCTAGTGTGAGAGTGATAGTAGAGGCATTGTTGAGAGGTCCACCGGTCAAAATCCAGTTTCGCCTTCAACCATGCCTCCCTGAGTTTCGGGGTATCGTGAAGTGAGTATTGGATTTGTGCTTGTCGTAGCGTGGCACTAGCCTGTAGGAATCTGGTTTTAGCCTGTTTTTTTTCGCTGCAACATAGGACATAATGCGTCCTCTCAGAACTGTTTTAGCCGTTTCCCAAAATAAATTAGGGGAATCGGCATGTTCTCTATTAAAGGACTCGTATTCTTGCCATGCCTCCTGTAGCATGGCCTTGAACAAAGGATCCGTGTACAGGTGGGAAGGGAAGCGCCAAATGTATGCGTCTCCTCTTGGTATTTGGGCCTGTAACTGGATCAAAATCGGGGCATGGTCCGACACAGCTATTGGAAGTATGGCTGTTTCACTAACCAGAGAATCTACAGCCTCCGTTGACCGGAAAACAATCTAGTCTGGCGAAGGAGTTGTGTGCAGAAGAAAAGTATGTGTACTCACGCTCAAGAGGGTTGCGGACTCTCCAGACATCTGTGAGATGAAGGTGTGTTGCCATGTCTTGTAAATGCGAATTTGCAGGTGTAGCAGAGACGGACTGTGACGGACCCCCTCGTGATCTATCCTCACCCAGCAGCATGACAGAGTTAAAGTCGCCCCCCAGAAGCTTGTACGGATTGGCATCTTGCATGATCCATGACGTAGTCTCCTGGAAGTAGGCAGTTGGGGGAGAATTGGGGAAGTAAAAGTTATATAAAGAATACGTTTTATTATGCATCTTA